GCGCACTCTTGTACATAGTGCAATTTTTAATTAAATTTTATAGAGTATATTAAATAAATAAAATTTATAATCAAGTAAATTACAATAGAAAATATATAAATTAATCTGGCACATTGCTGTCCCGAATCCCAATTTGAATTTAAGTGCCAGACCAAATTTCATTTCAAAAATTTTTTTATACTTATTTATTTGGGGGGGAAAAACCACAGTAAATGGTTTTTCATTCGTGGTTGTTTGGAATATTATGAAATGAAGAAAACGACAGGGAAAGCATACCCCACAACCAGTGTCCAGGGCGGTTCTGATGGAGCCATCTCGGAGATCGATCAACTTCCCGATATCATCAATGTACGCGTCCGCACCATTAGGAAACATGGTCCCTCCCCCAGGGAACCTAAACCGATCACCCTCGTACTGGACCCATTCTGCCCGCCTTCTCCACCGTCAGCTCCCTGTGATGCACATTAGCGTACCAAACCACGTCACGGCTCTCCGGCCAGGGAAACGGAATCTTATACCCAAACGGCGCAGGAATACGACACTTAAGCAACTCCTTCTTCTCCGGGCAATGCCTCTCTCTATAAATCATCCTGCTCCTTGAGTAGTTCAACGACCTTTCGCGATCCTCGCACGGCGTGTACTCGCTGTACTCGACGCCGCAGCGAGGGTAGTGCTTGGCTGGTTCCGATGTCGGAAGCGAGGCGTTGTGGAGGGAATGGAAGCTGAGGGTATTGTGCTTGGGGAAACATGGAGTACTTCGGAGGGCAGCGATGGTAGTGGCGGCGGCGAGGCGGAAGTGGTAAGCAAGCCGCCTGGTTGATAGGCTCCAACGAGGTAAGAGACGATGCAGAGGAAGGCGACAAGAGAGTAAAGGTTGAGTCTGCGAGAGAAAAATGGGGTTTGGAGGGTTTAGAAGTTGGTGGTAGGGTTCCATATTGGCTTAGAAGAGATCAGTGACATGCCCAAGAAAAAGAAGAAGATTTGATATTAATTTCAGATGACAAATTAGCAAAAGCAGGTAGATGAAGGAGGGAGCATTGTGGTCATGTAAGGAAATGCGCGTAAAGAGATATATTATGTCAGTGTAATTAAGCATATTAAATTGGAGAACTAAGGGCTTTGGATTTTCAGAGATCAGGTCACACACACATAAAAGTAATATTCTCTCACATATAAGCATAACATTTGTATTTGTCTAAAATTTTAATGTATTTTTTTCTATTTATTCTTTTTTTCTCATCTTTATAAATGAAGGTGTATTTGAAAAAAAAGTCACTTTTTTTTTACTTATTTATTGGTTTTAACTAATTTTAACCAATATTTTAATATACGGAATATAATTATTTGTTACTTACTCATATATATTTAAATGCAAGTTCTTTGTAATATATTTAATGCTTGTTTATTCTTATTTATTTTTATTAAAAAGAGAAAAAGAAGACAGAGATATATAAAATGATTTGTAAATATTTACAAAGAGACTAAGAGATATATTAAATGATTTGTAATTGTATATATAAAGAGACAAAACTTTAATAGAGAAAAAAAATTAAAAAATTTAGTCAAATTAATATATTTCTTGGTACGTGAGAATGTGCTATAAGTGACTTATATCAAGGATGAAAGTGGTATATGCCATTACTTAAATAATTTTAAAAACAACATTTGTGCTTTATGATGATACTTAAATGAAGAAGATATTAGCTTAATGCTCCAATTAACATTCTTATCTACAGATAAAAAAAACAAACAACATTTTTTTTTTCCGGAACATGTAGTATCCCCTGACTGATAGAAACTAATTCTCTTAAGATGTAGAGATCGCTAAAGTGGGTTTTGCTTCTCCCAATAAAGTCTTTTTCATGGGCATGGCTTAATTCGGACCCATGACATTATGTTTAAAACATCCAGTCATCTATCAATTGTGTCCGGTTTTTGTTGGGTCAAATGAACAATTAAATGGCCGGATGAGATTGGGCATCAACAAAAGTATGAAAAGCGACCTAGGATAAAGAATCCAAATTCGCGTAGTATGTGTGAGCTGGCAGCTTTGATTAAGGAGAAAGTATATTCAAAGCAGGCCACAGTGTGGTGAGGGTTGAATTTGAACAGTAATTCCATTACCATATAAGGTGCCCAATAGTTCTACCTAATTTTTCTATTTTTTTCTACCATTTTTTATATAAAAAAAATCAATCTATTGATTATTGAAACTTCAAACTCAAAAGTTGCATTTGGTTAAAAATAAAAAATAAAAAATTGCATTAAGAAGTTAATATTCGTGAATTCTGTTCCACTTCTAATCCCAAACTGTTAGTATCTGCTCTCTGATAATTTGTTATATGCATTTGGATTTTTTTTAAAAAAGTATCTGGTTACCATTTGTAATTTTGTCCTTGGTAAATGCTCTGATTTTTCTTTGAACTAACTTGCTTGTGACCATACTAAAAACAGGTTGGTATAAATGAGATTGTCCCTTATAGTGCTCAGAAGCCAGAGGGCGAGCCTTAATATTCCCGCCCTCAAAAAGGTCAATCCTCTCAAGTTCATGCATACAATTATATTCCTAGAGAGTTCATGAAAAGGTATATAATTAAAGTTGAGATTCATGTATCATATTCATCCTTATTTACTATTTTTTCTCTATCTCTTTTTTTTTTCCTTCCAAATATACTTTTTTACTGCTAGATAAAAGTAAGCTTGAAGTTACATTTACATCTATTATAGAAGCATGAAGACCAAGTTATATAGCTCTTTTACACACACATATATATTAAAAAATTAATAATATTCTGTAACATTTCTTAAAGAAAGTGCTACGAAAAAAAATTAATAATACAAAAATATATAACTATGTCTTCTATTTTTAAAATATTAATAATTTAATTATAAACTCATACAAAAAATAAGATGCATTGCATTATCTTGTATGATTGCAAAATTTGACAAAATGAATGTATAGAACTTCATCTAAGTATTTTCTTGTTTAAAATATTTAACTAAAAAGCAAATAACGTTTTTCATCCCAGCCAGAAGATTCTATAACTTTTAGGGATAATATTTTTACTATTTTAAACCATAAACTATATTACTTCCGGTTTTTAATATAAGAGTTTGTTTGATTTTTATTTTGATCCTAAATATAAAACTCCAATCTATTCTGTTCATTATATTGATCCATTTTTTCTCAATTCTTATAATAATATTAGTTATATCCAATACATTTGATTAACAAAGATATTTTAGAAAAAAATACTTCCGATCTTTAATATAAGAGTTTTTTTCACTTTTATTTTGATCCTAAATATAAGACTCCAATCTATTCTGTTCATCATATTGATCCATTTTTTTTCTGAAGATAGTTCTTATAATAATATTAGTTCTATTCAATATATTTGATTAGCACAGATATTTTAGAAAAATAATACCTATTTATTACAAATAACTAATATAAATAATTTTTTTAATCTATTCGAATTAGTTAACTAGTTATTATATTAAAGACTGGAGGTAGTATTAGAATAATATAAATTAAATCTTAGCGTTCAGCTTCCCTCCTTATTTATCTGCTGCCGGTCGGATGCTCGAAACAAAGTCATTTCCATCCTCGTGAGCAGCCACGAAATACTATTGCACCATTTTTAAAACTGCACTAGGCCAAGGAAAAAAATAAACAAAACAAAAAAAATATTTTCTCAGTTATAATTATTAGTTCCCTGGTTATAATATGTTGATTAGTTCCATGATTAATATCGAAGTCCCTACAATAAAATTTATTTTTAAAATTTAAATAAAATTATAGGGACATGCATATATATAAATGCAAGGATACAATTATGAACACAACCCGAGCAAAACCCTATTTTATCGGAGTAGAACCCCATTCTACCCCAGCAGAACCTTCTGAACCCTTATGAGAACCCCCACTGCTAGAGCAAGAGGTTCCTAAGGAGAATCCCATGCTGGCCGCTCCAAACAGACCATGGTCAAACCCTGAATTAGATGCTTTAGTACGCCTGGGGGAATTTGCTCATAACTATCATTATACGACAGTTCTTTTTCTCTAATCACTAATATAGAGGACGTTAATTGCTATTCTAGTTGTCCTATCGAACATATTCTGAGTAGCTGAGTTGTTACTTATCCAATGTTCTAGTGGCCTATGTACCATGAATGCATCTCATTGTTAAGGGATATAGAATGTGAATTTAAGTTATGTTGTAAAGGAAAAAACACAAGAAGGGAAAAAAGGGAAAACAAGAGAAAACAAAAACAAGGAAAAGGCATGATGATGGGGGGGGAAAAAAGGTTGAGAAGTCATAAGAAAGAAAGAGGCATAATGAGGAAGAGAAAAGGCATAGAAAAATAAAAGTTAAAAGAGAGACAAAAAAGAAAAGAGAAAAAATAGTGAATATGCAGAACAAAGGTGGATAGGGAAGTTAAGCATAACAGTGAGGACGTGTTCATGGAAATGAAGGTATCCGTGCTAAGAATTTAAAGCTAACTTTGTACTTGGATGATTCTTCTTGTGGATAGTGTTGGTTGCTACTAACATACAGGAAGTTAGTTGCTATTCTGGTTGTCTGTCCTTTAGAGATATAGTGAGCTAATAAAAGTCAAGCAAGATGGAATTGATCTAACAAAATTCGTTTTCAGCAATCCAAGTGGTATCAGTACCAGAGTAATCTTTCCATCAAACAAGATAGCGGCGAATAGGACCCTTGGAGTTGAGAACAGTCTATTCATCCGTGCAAGTATCGATAATCTCCTTAGTTGGTGGATGGCCAGTAATAATGAAATTAGAGCACTGTGTTGTTAGGAATGTGCAAGATCATCACTAAATAATGGGAGTGGCTCAAAAGTACCTCGATAAGAAACAAGATTCTCAATATTAAAAACTAAGATATTTGACATGTGAGGAGGTAATTCAAGTAGATAAAGCATGAGGATCAAGTTTCTTGCGAATGTGAAATTAACATGAAACTCTAGCATGCATTTTTTTTTCCCCTTTTTATAAAGTGCTAAACCGGGAGATATATGAATAAAGAAAATGAAGGATTTAAGAAAGTCAAAAATGAAAATAGGAAATTAAGAAAGGTAAAGAAATAAAATAAAAATAAGATAGGAAATAATTTTTTTGTTTTTTTATAAAGGATTATGGGAAGTAAAAATGCAACAAAACATTAGGAAAGTAAATAATGAACATTGGAAGATCAAGGGTAGAAAATGACCAAGAAACAAAAAAATTACCCTTGTAATATTCAAAAGCACAAAATTTAAAATTTAGGATGCAAGTACTTCACCAATTAACTTTAGGAACATAAAGTTATAAACTGTATGCAAAAGGCTTCCATACTCCAGGGAAACCTATAATGGCAAAAACCATGCATCTGAAAGTAATGTGAAATACTAAATCGACCTTGAAGCTTTGGAACGCTATGGAGATTTTTTAGGCTAATTTAAATGGCTTATAAGAGACTAGAAGAGAGGTGAGATATGAGAACCTAGTTTTCATATCAATTGATGCAGGACAGGAAAGGTTAGAAAGAGTTGATTTTGGAAGGCTTATGCGAGACCAAAAAAAAGAGGGAATTTGGTTTTGATACCAATTGATACAAAATAAAAAACGAAAAGAGAATTCAGAGAGAGATAAGAAGATAATGCACTTTCACTTAGATCATAAGTTAAGTGCAAATAAAACATGCTGGAGTTTTTTTTCCAAATTTCAGAGTAAGAATATATATCTAGATAGAAAACCCACAATTTACAACCTATATTCTATTATTAAAGGACTTAGAAAAATAGATCTAATGCAAAATACATTATTCTCAACACATATGTCCAATTATCAATCCAATTATTGAACCTAATGCCTTAGAAGTCTCGAGTCTACTTTCCAAATTTCGACATGATACAACAGTAAACAGATCTATA